TATTCTCTGCCCTTTCAAGCTCCAAACTCTGCGCCAAGGCCTGGTCCCATCAAATATGACAAGTGTCACCCCATTTTTTTTTTAAATCCAAAGTTTAAAACGACATGCCTCTCGCATAAAGCCTTTTACTGGTTTCTCCACAATAATCTTGATAGTTACCCCTATCTGAATTACCATTTTTTAGAATTTTTGTAAAAAAATGTATGGTAACAATAAGATATATGTGAAATAAAAAAATAATTAAAAAATATGTTCATAAAAAGCGTAAAATTTTTTTTTTTTTATATAGAAAACTATAATCCAAACACTATATTCGTTGTATTCACAGTTTACTGAAACTATGATTATTGCGTGTAGAAAAATTTTATAAACCTCGATGTTACAACTAGGCTTCCAATATTTATTTTTGGAAGGCAAAACACTCAAATAAATTTCGTTGTGTTGGCTCTTCCGTTCCAAGGCGGGATCCTGAGAGGTGATTGGTGATTACCTCGTCCTATAAAAAGTGGGATAGGATGGGAGGAGATGTCAAATATGCTGTAGATAAGGAAAATTTATCAAATTGGTCCCTAATATTTACACAAAAAACTTTTTTAGTCCTTAACATTAAAAATCAGTCAAAATAGTTCTTAACATATAAATTATGATCCATTTTGGTGCTCATACTCGTATTTGCTCATTTCTCTGTCTAAAAATAGCATGCCTCTCTCACGTGGGCATATTTTCAAGAGCAAAACTGGAAAACACTATTTGTTTTCAGTGTAAATGTGGAATTGAAACTTCTGCTACTGCTGCTTCAGTATATTCTCCTCAAACTGAAAAGCACCTGCGTCAATTTGACGCTTGATCCCCCTAGCAGTGTGGCTGCTGCTGTTGATCCTCCAAGGAACCACCACTATTAAACCCAGCGAGGTTGATTCCGTCACCTTTTCGTTAAAGCTGTGTGATCCGACCACCGCCAAGGAACCACCACCACCCTCTTTCTAGCAGATTGTGCAGGAGGCGAAGCCCAGGCATCAAGATGGTGGGAATTAGTGGGCTGCGGAAAAGAAAAGAAAAGAGATGACGTGGAAGATGATATGAGTTGAGGAAGCGAAGCGAACAAAGATGATGATGGTTTTAGAAGTGATGCCAAAAGTCTCAAACTTTCCCGATTTTTTAGCAATTACTGCCCATTCCTCTCTTCTTGAAGTTCATTAGATTTATGTGGATTCACGGTTGAGGAAGACGACAAGACGGGGGGCTTTGGGGGGTGGGATTGGGGTGGGGGAAGTGGAAAGGAGATGGATGAGGAAGAAGAAGATGATGAAGATTTTGGGGGTGGCAGTGAGGAGAGGAATCCAGCGGATCTGGGATTTGAGAGCTGTGATTTATCTTCTTGTTCTTGATCTTGTTCATCATCGGAAGAGGCGTAGCTCGCTAGCAAAGAGTCCATGACCAGAAGCAAAAGGGGAGAAAAACCCTAATTTCAGAACAGGGAAAGAAAAATATTAAAAAATGTTGTCCTTGAAAAGGGGAGAAAAGCTTGTATTTTCTAGTTTTGCCTTTAAAAATATGCCCACATGAGAGAGGCGTGCTATTTTTAGCCGGAGAAATGAGCAAATACGAGCATTATGATCAAAATGGATCATAATTTATATGTTAAGGACTATTTTGACTGATTTGGATAAATATGCTACAGATAATTTTTCTTTACGAGACAATATAACTCTTTGAAAATTTGGTTTTTAAAAAGAATTTCCAACAGGCTTCCATTATGAGACGTTACGATTTGTGCTGCATTAGCATTCTACCAGAAGGATTTGCACGTAAGTTATTAGATTTCCACAAAAGTTGATCCAAATCTTACTTGGTCGGTGTCGTTGTGATTTTGTTCTTCCTACCGGGCCCTAACACGAACTTGGCTGTGGAAGGAAGATTGTACGTAATTTCAAACTTAAAGAAAGAGATGAATCTTGAATTAATCTTGAAGAGTTGAAAAAAATCAATACCCACTAGTACACTGGCGTGCAAAAGTGGCAAAGTTAGGACATTCGTTCACGGGGTGCAATAATTCTAAGTTAAACATGTGGTTTGTGAGCTTTTGGTGCAATGAACCAATTTATTCAATGTCTATAGTTTGTAATTTATTATTACACATATGTGCAGATAATATATAAACAGTTAAATTGTTGTATGAATATTTGGTTCACTTCTAATTCATATACTGGGACATATAAGTAAAATTTAATTTTAAGTAAATAAAACTTTATTAGAAAGAAAATAGAAAAAGCATCGTGTTTGATTCAAACTTCCATAGAAGAAATGGTAAGGAAAATGTAAAAAAATTTCAACATTTTTGGGGGACAATTTTAGGTTTAGATGGAATATCTTGAAAATTCAAGAGGGGCAAGAGCAGGACCATAATAAAAAAGGGTAAATTTTTTAGAGATTAATTTTTATACACCGTCAATGACAAGCAGATTTAGATGAAAGTAACATCATTATATTTTAAATTTTAAATACATCAATGTATCATATATCTATATCTGCTAAGTGTAAGTATTCTTTATACTGACAATGTATATAATATTAATTCAATTTTTTTATAGGTTACGTTATAGTTTTTAAAAATTTGAGCTTAAAATGACTCTAGCTCCGCCCATGATGCAAAGAATTTTCATTGTTCTTGACAAATTTTCCAACAGTTCCATCTGGAAATATATGGTGCGGGAGGCATATTTTCGCTCTCCGGTGGCTAAGGATTTCCAAGGCCTGGATATAAAGAAGCTAAAGACATATTCTACCAAAGTCTTTCTTTCGCAATCTAAGTATCCTAAAGTCCTTATACTTGTGTTGATGCATAATCTTTGCAATTGGTTGGTATATATGGTGGTTGGTTCATCTGATACACACTCAATTGAAAGATAACGCAGGGAATGATGCCCCTTCAAATTTACGCTGAATATTGCGTCCCACATTTGCAAGTCTGGCTAATCAAGGGTATATGAGAACTAATTAGGGGAACGAATGCGAAGATAGCTAGCGTGTTGATCAACCACTTTCACAGTCGAGGACCTTATTTCCTTTGCGTGAAGGCTGCAATCAAATATTTATCTATATGATCTTTAGCCCAGATCTTGCATTCTTGTCGCTTTATCTTTTGCCACAAATTGAATTCGGAGTTCCGTGTTGGGGAGCATTGTGGTATGTCTTTTCCAAACGAAAAGCTAAAAGAAAGAAACGAGAAAATTCTGTAGTGAACTGGTAAAACTGGCATCTGACATGGAAAAGCAATGAAAACAACCTATGGTTTCGTCCATATCGATCCCAACTGCATTAAGTAATTCTCCATGTACAAATGAACTTCCAAGTTGTGCTGTCAGAATCCATAGATTGAGATTGTTGGTTAGAAAATTACATAAGATGGAGGGAGGGAAGAAAATTGTTGTTGCTCTGACGATCTTATTCGCGGTGGCAACAGCAGAGTTGTCATTGTGGTTAGGCCTTTGCCTGATAAGTACATAACATTAAACTTGAAAGAGATCAACCTTGTACTAATCTTGAGAGTTGAAAACAATTAATATGCAAAGAATTTTCATTATTCTTGACATATTGCTGTGTATTAAGGTGGTGCACTGCATGCCGTGATGGTTTCGGTATTCTTGACGTATTTGACCTAGGTCTTTCTTTCACAATGCAAGTTATCCTGATTGAACTGCTAAATCTCTCGATGCATAGTTTTTCAAGGCCTGAATCAAGCAATGGGCTGGTTAATTACATGGTTCATCTGATACATGCACTCACTTCATGTCTAATATTGATGGAGTCCCGCATTTGCAGGTCTGGCTAAAGGGCACATGAGATGAGAGTTGGGTGAATGAGAAGATAGCTAGCGTGTTGAACCACTTTCATGGGGACCTTACAGTTTCCTTCCTGCTTAAAAATCTATGTGATGATCAACACCCCAGATGCAGACTTATCTAAATCGTGCTCTCGTCTCTCCGTCTTTTGCCACAATTAAATTCTGACTTGCAAACGAGAAGGCAAAAGAAAGAAACGAGTCGTACGTGCTCTGCGTTGAATTTGTAAACTGGCATAGGATATGGAACACCCAAGAGTAGCGAGTACCTCTGTAGACGTTTCATCCATAATCATCCTTGCTGCATTCTGAAAAAAAGATCTTCCAAGTTGTGGTATCAGAAACCATAACTTGGGTTTGTCTGTGAGATTCAACTACATAAGATACGGAGGGAAAAAGAAAGCTGTTGCTGTTGTTGTAATCTGCTTCACGACATCTTCTAGTTTTCTTATGGAAATCTTGTTTCGTGTAATTATCATATTAACTACTAACAGAAAACATAATGGAATTATAGTTTTATAAGAATTTGCACTTTTATCTGGTTAAAGTGTGTTTCTTAATTGTAGCTTCTAGGGAAAAGGGTTAACTCGCGCAAAAGATTACTGCTCAAGAGGTGATATTCAATGCGAATTCTCAAACTCGGATCCAAGGAACACGACGTTCAACAAGAACACGAAAATTTTTGCTGCCGGAGAGGATTGAGTCCCATCAGTTTTCTTCGTTCTTCTTCTTCTCTTTTTTTTTTTTTCTCTCTTTTTTATCTTCGTTACCAGCATTTTTTTAGGGTAGGTGTTACCAGCTTTTTTCCCACAAAAGAGCATTTGAGATTTTATTTCATTCTCAAGTAGCATCCTAGCCATTAAATTTTAGGAATCACCAATTTGTTCACTTTTTTATGACTTGCTCAAATTAATGTAACGAGTAAATTATGGCTTCATTGGCACATTGCAGGTATAAAACTATGTGGTAATTTAGTATTACAATAATGAGATCTTGATAAGCATTCAAACCAAATATAAACATAGTTAAAATCGTTAATCCTACTTGTTCTTTTTAATGTTCCCAATAGTACCAAACAGATGATTGTGAGGGACTAGAATAAAACGACTTTCAAAATTTGAGGGCAAGAATGCAATTTCAACACATAAAGTTCAACCAAATTCGTCTTCTTCTCCACTACTCATTTTAGCTCGGCGGAGACTCCCCTCTTCAGTAATAGTCCATGAATGCAGCGGCTGCAGTGACCAACGCCATCACCAGATTACCTTTTCCACCCCCAATTGGATACCCTTTTGCCCAAAATGAGAACCCCAGACGCGTTATCGAGTCTCTGCGCTTTCCTTCAACTTCGTCTTCGGCAGTAGTGAAAACAGTATCTTTATCTTTGGAACAAGAGTTTCGGCCTAATGCCCTTCGCAAGAAGCAAGATTCCTCATCCAGATGTGGGTTCAGCCTAGGGGTAGACCTGGGTCTTTCGCGGACGGGCCTTGCCATCAGCAAAGGCTTTGTAATTCGTCCCTTAACTGTATGTATGATGAATTTGCCTTTAAAACATTTTTACTTAATTTTTTGGGCTTTCATCTGTTATTGTTTTGGTTGCATTTTGTGGGCTTATGTATAAGAGGTTGTAGGTTCTTGAATTAAGAGGCCAAAAGCTGGAGCTTCGTCTACTTGATATTGCTCAAAACCAGGTACAAAGTTGAGTTTTTGAGCGGGCATGTTGTTTTGTGGCTATTGAAAGGGAATCGCAATGAGTGTTTCCATCCTTTTTGGAGCTATGAGTGTTTAAACAAGAATTGCTCAAGCCGGAGGATATAGTACTTAAGTTTAATTTGATTTTTTAACGAGCTTTAAAATGTATTCGAGCTTTACTTGATTATCATTTTTTTGGTTATTGAACTCGAGCTCAGCTGAGGGAGCTTGATGTATAGTTCAAGGCTTTTTGCTTATTTGCCGAGTTTGAAAACTTCATGTACGCTAAATCATTGTTTAGCAGTGTTTTGATTTGTTGCCATACGCCCTTCTCAACTCAAGCTTTTTATAGCTTTCAGCCTTGACTTTTTCCGCTATTGAGCACAATTTCCATTCTTGCTTTGGAGTTTTTAAGTATAATATCTTATCTAAATCCTGAGGGTTTATATGGAATTTAGGAGGTTGACGAGTTCATAATAGGGCTTCCAATATCTATTGATGGGAGAGAAACACCACAGTCGAATAAAGTCCGTAGTGTTGCTGGTAGACTTGCCGTCCGGGCTGCTGAGAGGTAAAGTGATAATAAACAGGTTTTGTTGTCTGGGATGTCATGCTCTCAGACTTTTAATTTGACATTCATGATGGTTTTGTTGTTGCAACCCTGCTTGATAAAATGGTAAATTGGAAATCAGGATGCGGTTGTATGATATTAGTCTTCAACAAATTATGTAACAAATTTGTTGCCATTATGGTAAGACTTTTGCAGGATGAATAAGTCGAAATACTATTTCATGGATTTTGTAATGAACTTCTTTTTATCTGTTCATGTCAAGGTATGACTAATACCTTCATCTGTATTAACCTTCTATTTCTGAACTTATTCATCAGTTATGTCGCAAGGGAACTTGCTTGACTTGTTAACCTTCTAAAAGTTTTTCTGCTATCACATTGATCTCTATTTCAATGCAGGGGCTTGAGAGTGTACTTGCAGGATGAATATGGGACCTCAACTGAGGCACTTGATCGTATGATAGACATGTAATTCTTTTCCTCTCCTCTTGTTTATTTGATTAGATTCCTGAACAGCTCTTTTGCAGAATTATCAAAATTTCTTTTGCCATTGAGTGGTAAAGAAAAAAAAAGGAACATATTCTGCGCTGAGCTGCTATGCTTCTAAAATGTCAAGGTTACTCATGCATCCATAAACCTGAAATAAATAGTAGAATGCTGATTAAAATTTCCCTCAAAGACACATTCCACAGCTCCTTCAAGTACTTTGGCAGATTACTAAAACTTAGTACAGATTTGGATAAGAGTTTGGTTAGTCCAGTTCAGCTGCTTAAGGTCTTTTTGAAGAGCAAATGGGGAGCCTTTTCTCTTCATATATTAAAGCACGAGGGTAAGGCTGTCCATTCCACAAAAATCTTCCTCCAGAGCTTCCACTATGGGAGCACACACATTCACTGGCACAACGAAGACGGGGAGATAGGTTAGATAAGTGAAAGGGAATTTATCAAAATGCTCTTTATTCCAAAAGAAGCAAAAAGATTCTCAAACGTGTAAATCGCTAGTGAGATCAATAGAAGATAATCAGATGTCCATGGGTGGATTATTGTATACCATACTACATGTTGCCACTATCTTTGAAAGCATGAGTTAGAATTTAATGAACTTGAAACGGGACATTTATTTGGAAGATAGGACCTGTAGACCGACTAAATGTACCAAAATTTTGCAGGGGACTCAGCAAGTCTGGTCGCCGGGGGAGGATTGATGCCTATGCAGCTGCGGTGCGCTTTGTATTCAAAACTACCATTTTGTTTTGCACGTTTGAATGAATGTTTTTCTGGTGGATTTGATATCTGGCATACAAGTGTGAATATTTTCTCCATTTTCCTCAATGACAGATGGTGCTCGAAAAGTACTTTTCAGAGTCAGGAGGAGGAGTTGAACTTGTCTTGCCCAAGCAGTTGGACCTCCAAAACAAACTTAGAGGTTGTGCTGCCAGGAATGTTGAGTCGTTTTAAGCGGATCTTTGCTACTCAGAAATTTGCATTATGTTTTCATGCGTTCATAATTCTTTTATTCTTTTTTATCTCAGATCGGGGTAGGTTTCTTCTCCGCAAACCTCTGTATTTTTAATGTTTGCAGTCTTTTGCATCGTTTAATGATAGATAGGGCTGTGGCGGAGGCATAACAATAATTGCAAAACAAACAGACAAATCTAATAGGAGTACATTTCCCCCTACCATGATAGCAGTCAAAACATGTGGAACTTTAAGTTGGTTCCTCATTTTGTCAAGTTGCTTTGTGATTTCATTTTCCTTGTTAATGCCAATACAGGAAAGCTATGGAAGCGTTCTTAAAAGCAATTTTCTGGAAGAGCAACAGGTTGAAACTGCGTTGTAGCAGTGAGTCAGCAATCAATTATTTATTACAACGTATTTCAGACATCAAGATTCCAATTATCAATGCGTCCAACTTCTTTTCCTTGTATAAAACATTTGGTTGATCAAATTTCTTATCCCTGCCTAAAATGTACAAATCGATTGTTATTTCTGGGGTCCAAGGACGGAAAGGGTATAAAATGCATGTTACTGTATCGGAGCAGAAAATAAATTGAACAAGCATTACTGCAGATATCCTTTCATCCAACATAGCTGCAGCACTGACATCCTTCATCTGCCAGACTTGAAATCTGCCCTTCTCCAAGATGGACGCCACAATCTGGATTTCCTCTAGTAATGGCATCTGATAGACAGCAAAAACTTGAGACACAGTTTTGACTGCAGAAAAACAGACGAGATTGACTGAAACACAAATTCAGATAAAATATCCCACTTTTTCTTCTTAAAAAGGAATGGAATATGCTTCTTGAATACAGAATAATAAATGGTGGCTTCTTCATTGGAAAAACTTGTAAACTTGGACATCGAATAGAAATTAGTAAGGGTGACAAACAGGACGTACAACAACTTCAGGGTTAGCAAGTGTGAGAAGATAGTTTCTGAGTATTGGGAACCATGGAACAAGACAATCAAGAGATCGCAAAGGTTATTATGCTTACCAACAATAAAATCATTGCACGAAAATTCTTACAAGTTACATGATGTAGTAAATTTTACTATAGAAGTCTGAATTACTAAAAAATTTGGGAAAAACTGGCAGAAGAACAGCAAACCAGTAAAATATCAGTGGCCATGTCTAGCTCATTGGGGTAATAGTTATGGCACAATAAATACCTTGAACCAGAAGAAGTGCGAGTACAATACATGGCAACATAGTGGTTTCATACAGACATTCAGAGTTGATCTGGAAGTGCAGTATTGTAGGATATTGCTGCTAATCTGTTCATAAGCATTAGAAATGCCGGACGGACTAAAATACACGAAAGAAAAATAAAGTAGAGGATCCAGAATTTGTTGCAACAAAATAGATTCCCATGTATCCAAAAACTATCCAGGACGGGCACTTAGTCGGCAACAAATAAAATTGATAAGACACTGAATAAGATTTCGTTCAAAAGTTTCTTCCATAACATGATACCAGCTTTATGCTACGAACCATGTAGACTACAAAATTGGCCATAGAGATACAGTAACAGGACAACATTACTCCTAAAATACACTCGTGTTCTTATTTCCACCAGTAAGCAGACTGAAGAAAGGATCTTCTTTCTGTTCATCAACTTTGTCCGTCAGTTTGAAACCAGAATCAAGTTTGTTTGATGTTGATGGTGAAGGAGCTTGCACGGACATGAAGGCAACTTTTTCCTTCCCAGCCTTGCGTTTTAAAGGATTCGAATGTGTAGATGAGCTTGAAGTTGTGAGCAGGCCACCTTCTAGAGCCATATTACTGTTTGCAGTTGGTCCTGCACCAGAAGAACCATCTCTTAGATGCTTCTCTTCATTACTTTCTGAAACAGGATCAGCTAATGAACCATTGTCCTTCGTCATGCCATCAGGACCTTCTACAGCAGCTTCAGGATATGCCTTGCCGGTTTCGTAATCTAGAGGAGAACCAGAAGCATACCGTTAAGTTCCTTTAAAGGTGATACCTTTAGTAACAAGATTAGCATGAAGTAGAGGTAAAGGTACTCTACCCTATAAAAGCAATATTGTGGAGCGTTGCTTCATATTTCCTAAAGGTTGGTTACAGAAACGAAGAGAGAGAGCTGCAGTAATTTCCCCTTAGGCCTAATCTTTAATTACCTCCAAGCAAAACCTCAATGCTCTGATACTGCACTGGAGATGCCCTTTGGGAAACATCTTCCCTGCCATCCTTTCCTTGGGTTTTGGATTCACTTTCATTCATTTTTTCAACTAATATATACTTATCTGTCTGCCAAATGCATTCTAAGGAGATAAATTGCTCCTTTATAGGATAATATTCCCTAAATACCTGCACAGTGCCCAAATAAGAAAAGAGAATGTTTCAAATGAATTGGCAAAGGAAATCATCTCTTTAACCTGAGGTCCATAAAACAGTAACTAATATAAACTAATGCAAAAGAATTCATTAGACTACAAACTCAGTGAAAATAACCTCGAAACCTTCTTCAGTAATTTTAATAGCCTGCTCCTTTCGAGATAGTGAAGAAACGGAGTCGTATACACAAACAACATCAAGGAGTATCTGTTTGAAAGGAACAGTAAACCAACTTAGACAAATTAAATTGTGAACTCTATTAATTATGAAATCAAATCTCTATCACCGATATGATTACATGGATTTTCATCACTAAGCTCATTGAAGAAACAAAGCACTTACTTGTTGAATCAAGACTCGAAGGCGTGCAAGCAGTGACAAAATGGTCAGTGAAAATCCCATGAAGAATGATTGAGCAAGCAGTTTAGATATATCTCTGTTGGTTGTTATGGAAAAAACAGATGACAACTATCTGCAAGGACCATGCAAGGCTGCACTAAAAAATCCTACACAATAATACCAACTGTGAAGAGGAATTTCCTACATGATTAACTGAACCATGAATGCTAAGACAAAGAAAGCAAAAAAATAAAGGATCTTAATCTGAAACTACAAAGAAGAGTAAATTAGAGCAGTGATAATTGTACTCATATCCCATCTCTGATTACAATAGGATGCTTCTTATATATGACAGGAGGTCTTAAGTCATAGAACTAGTTAAGGACAATAAATACAAAGACAAAATTAGCTTGATTAAAGAAAGCTAACAGGAAACCACGTAAATAGCTCAAAATGTTACTCCACATTATTAGTTCACACACTTGAAATGTCACTTTGAAACTGGTACGAGCAGAAGCTCTTCAAGACTTTCAATTTCAAAAGATTAACATGAACCAATTGAAAAGAAAATAGAGGGTGTGAAATGAGTAGGGAATCTTGGATAAATGAACCCATTAATTTCCAGAAGTGAATCTTTAGTCAAAGCTACTGCATACAAAAACAAAAATTCAACCAAAGGATACACAGCTGCTTCAACATTGGCTCAACCATCTGCAACAGAGATAGAGCACAATTGAAGATAGTTTCATGAATCAGAGCATACTGATCCCTTCTAATTATGTTTTCAACTAGTGCGAAAATTAGTACTTGTTGGATGTAAATAGACCAAAAGGAAACTAATCGCTTAAAAGCCCCATAAGAAATTGAAAATAACCACATCTTCACTCTAGTTCTCCCACTGGTTGTGGTGTAAGGTGGAGGAGCAGATACGCTTCCTTGGGAAAGAACGAAGATTCCAGCTAATTCTATTTCTCTTGTGGACAATGATACCAAAGAAGTAGATGCAAGAGGATGGTAAAGAAAGAAGGCAACAGTGATCTGTTAATGATTCGCTGCTACAGGAAGATAACACAAGAACAATGGAAGAGACTGAAATCAACCAATTTTAATCCTCTAAGGTCCAAAGATTTTGATGGACGATGGCTTAGATTAATTTGGACATCAAAACAATGGGAAATTTTTTAAAAGCACAGATGTAAGATCATAGTTTATGGCATGCCTCACAACATACGCTCAACTGAGGCATGTAGAAAACTGAAGGTAGAATAACAATTTAAAGAAACAACTGTGAGCAACAAATCACAAACAAATGTACTACCTTTGATAGTAAACGTGCAACTCCAAGAAGCCTTTCCAAAAAGTTATATTTGCCACCATCACACCTTCTCCGCTTCAAACTGAAACCCAATGTAAAAGAAGGCATGCAAACAGGATTACAAATTGAACAAATGAAAGGCCAAAGTTTTGGTATGTGCAATTTGACGGAAAGTAACAGTCTAATCACTACTGATTGTACATTACATTCACAGACTGGTCACTTAATCAATTTTCCTTGGATATTAACTATCAACTTCCAATTTAACTTTTCGAAGCCTCCACATCAAATTACCAAGAAAACGTTAAGAATTTATGGCTTTGCGATCTACTGATGAAACCTCAATGAAATCTTTGCTATTTCCTCCAGAAAAAAAGTGCATGAATCACTAATCAACGCATATGGTAAACAACAATGTTGGAAAATGTGCCCTTCTTTATGTTTATACCTTTCAAAAGCTGCAGTTTTTGTTTAGGCCTTTTGCCATGGATTACCAGAAAGCAGGAATTCAAGATTTCCTCCAACTTTGCTGATTGCAGAAGCCTCAAATCCCTTCTAACCTGTCACAAATCACAATTAATTTTAAACCAACAAACCCAATAAGCAAATGCTTGAAGGTATACAGGTTAGTGCTTTACACTGGGCAAGTAAAAACGGAAACCTTAGGCAAAAAAAACATACCAACCTTAAGCAGGTACTGAAAATAAGAGCACCTTCGATGCTGATTCTTATTTTTGTAGACAATTCTATCGAGAATTGCAAATTCTGTCTGCAGCTGACCCAAAAAAGTCTTCAATCTCTCCTCAACTAATTCAAATTCCGAACCCATTACCTTTAATAATGCTAATAACTACACTCGCTGCTCATCCTGTTACCACAAGAGAAGCTTAACTCGGATGTCAAATACACAATTTTCGTGCAAGAAGCTGTTTCGGGCAGCGATTCTTGAAAAGGCGAAGTGGTGGCGAGAGCCAGAGGGGAGTTATCGGAGGTTGTTCCTGGAAACAGGGTTCATTCAGAACTCGTCAAAGGTCACCAAAATAAAGCAACGGGAAAACAGGATACCTAAAAATTCTTAATTTGTTCATCTAGTCCTTCATCTATCACAATCAAGTCGGTTTGATCCTCAAAGTTCCTTGAACAAATCAATTTGTCCTTAAATAAAAGCCATAAATGTAAATGGATCCCAAAAAGTTTCTAGGTATGTACCAAATACAACTTATGACCGTTCAAACATTGCAAATATCGACTTTCACAAAGGCTATTTTAACAATAACGTACATAATTTAGTATTTAACATTCTCAATCATACTTATATATAATATAAATATGAGTTTTTGAATACAAATTAATCTTATTGTCTCAAATATTTTATTCAACCAACAAATAATTTATTTAACAAGTTTTTGAACAAGTACCCATAGGTAGTAGAATCTTCTATGTTTAAAATCTCTTATATTCTCATTAAGTTGTTACATGGTGGGAAGGCTCCAGGGTACTTGTGACTAAGGTTGCATTCGAATTTAGTCCAATTCAAGCTCGATCAAATAAGATTATTAAGCAAGTAGTATTGAGTTTTGAGCTCGACTCAAATGAGTTTTGAGGATCCTTGCAAGCCATTTGAGTAGCTCAAAATCGATTTTTAGTGATAAATTGCACAACTTCCATACCTATAAGTGTAATTTCACATATATATCATTTTTAATAAAAAAAAAGCGTAATTACTCCAACTAGCTCGTCGAGCATCAGGTCTTCTTCTCTAAGACTCGTGCCCGACTCAAACAAATTAAGATTGATTTTGACCAAATTCGAGTCGAGCCGTTGACCGAACTGCTAGCTACTAGTGGTATAATATATATAAGATTTAGGGTCAAAACCTAAAGACGTGTATCCTAATTGCAATTTGGTCCGACTCTGTTGAAGAACTTTGTAAAATTTCCTAGAAAAATTCAAGGAATGTTTAGACATCCGGCTTTTAACTAAATAGACTCGTTCGTTTTTTTTTCCCCTTTAAAACGCAAAGACTAAAGAGCCCTTGAATATTTTCATATTAAAGCTTAAGGTGCTATAATATTAGTATAGGCACTTTAGTCTTTTCATGTGACAAAAGATAAAATGGAAGGATTATGAAATTAAAAGTCCAACATATAAATCATAATCACGAAGGATACAAGCCGGAAGAAGGGGATAATCGCTCTCCTGCAACTGTATTAGCATATACATACAGGGCTGCTAAGACGCGGACATATCAAAGAGTGGCAGAAATAATGAGACACGATACAAAACGAACAAAGACATTTAATAGCTCCAATGCCTAAAGGGCCGTGATTTGTTGAAAATACTACTAATTCTGGCTACTAGGGGCGAGGACTAAGACTTGTAAATGTGTACCGAACTAGGAGGAGGGCTAAGACTAGGGGTGCAAACGGCCGAGCCGATTCGAACATTGAACTTATCGAGCCAGGCTCGACTACTGTACACTCGAGCTCGAGCTCGTCGAGCTCGAAAAATTGAGCTCGAGCTCGACTCGACTAAGTATGAAGCTAGCTTGAGCTCGACTCGATAAGGCTCGATCTACTCAACTCGACAAGAGCTCGAAATGGCTCGAATTCAGCTCGAAAATTTCTATTACTAAACATAACCAGCTTTATTTAACCTGGCTCCAATAGCATGTTTTAAGCTATTCAATGCCTTGCAAACTTGAATTTAACAATTCCAAACATGAATTAAAAATAACAACAATTCTTCATTGTCCAATAATACATGCACGAAATCAGAAACAAATGTCCACAACTCCACATACATAATTGTTTCACAATTTTTCAATTCAAATGTCCAACACCTCAAACAAACTCAAAAACAAGGAACAAATAGTTTGAAATCACTCTAGATTAAGTCCTCCAGCAACCAATAGCCTCGAGTCTTGGATTCTTTCACCCACAGCCGTGCGCTAAGTATCAATAGAAATAAAAACAAGTCATTTGACTTCAAGCAAAATAGTCTAACATAGCTAACTCAAGATAATCAATTCCAATTTGAAGCAAAATGGTGCACCTATCTCTTCCCTAGCCTCCAAAATGTACTAAAACAGAAAATGAAAAGGGTTGGAATATTAAAAAAAAAGAATAAAATTTAACTAAAAGGGACAAAAGTCAAAGCAGCAATTAATCAGACAAGTTGTCGAACACATATAAGCATTCATATGTTTAATTAGTCGTAAAAATGTGCACACGAAGAAATGCACATTCAATTTATCAACTATCAGATTTGTTGAACGAGTGATTGGCCTTCAACCTAATCAGGTAGTATCAATGTTAGCAATTTTGCAAAACAAATGGTAAGTAGACTAGTACAAAAAAAAAAGAGGATAATACTAGTGGTATACGTTTTTTAATTCGTAGTGGTCCTTTTCTTTTTTATAGGCAATTGGCAGTGGTCCTTTATTTCCGTCTTATTGTTGCCCTTTTCTCGAAATGTCAAGTTTTTCATTTTCTTGATTTTCTTTCCTTCTTTGCCCTGTGGATACCAATCACAATTAGAAAAAGGTAAGTATGAATGAATAAATGATGTTACTGTACTATCAATATTTAGGGAACCGTCAGGATCCCCACATCTTCTCACCCCTCTTTTCATCAATTGAAGATAACTGCCTTTTGACAGAAATTTCTTCTGTAAATTCTTGCATTTTCCCCATTAATTTTCATTAATACAATTATGTCAGAGACGATAGAAAAAGTTGAACAAAAAATCCCAGAAAACAGTGTTAAACTCAGGCCACAAAATGCCAGTGGTGGGCTTAGGATGAGCCGCGCATCCTTTGCCACCATCCTTTGCCCGAATGAGAGATAGTAATAATTTTACATCTAAACATTCTACAACAGGAAAGAGGTGAAGAAGTCGATCTGGCTTTAATGACAGGAAACAATCACTTATTCTACCACCAAGCAAGCATCATTATACAGCAACAAAAACAGAAAATAAGGGAAGAAGAGTGATGGATAACCTGTTCGCGAGACCCTCCGGAGCTGATGAAATGTCTACCGTAGCTGCTTCTAACGCTGGCCAACAAACTGGGATTCGGAGAGAAAGGGCCCTTCAATTGAAGGGCGGCAGCGGTGGTGGCGGAAGTGGCTGACTGGTGAGTGGTGAAGACAGTGGTAGCGGCGGCTAGGATTTGCTTTTGATTTGGGGAAAGAAGAATGCCGACAGCGGAACAGCCGAGTGGGAAGAAGAAGAGGTGTGTTTGTGTCTCCACAGTCCACTGTCCGCTGTCTTGGAGAAATAAGAAATTGTATCTAGTTTCTAGTTTAGTAATTAGTTAAATAAGTAGGGGTATTTATGTAATTTTTTACGGCTCGCGAGCCACTCGCTAGCTCACGAGCCTTCGTACAAATGGCTCGGACTCAACTCGTTCTATAAACGAGCGGCTCGAGCTCGATATTGATCAAATTCGAGTCGAATATTGACCGAGTTACTCGCGAGCAACTCGATTCGTTTGCACCCCTAACTAAGACATTATTATATTGGGAACCGGAAACGTTGGAAAATTTTTTTTTTATTTAAAATTTTGTGATCTTTGTTGAATGATAGGGATGACAAAATATATTTACCTCTTACATGGCAAAAGTATTTTTACTATATATATTGAAACAGTTGCAAATACACTAACAATAACAAATCTTTTTTTTTCATTGAACAATTTACAAACCAATTTCAAAATTGAGGCGAGAGGATGGTTATGGCGCTTAACCTTTGGAGCAATATTTTAGCTGAGGACACTATCAAGGAAGTTTTTTTTTTCGAAGATAAATACTTATTAGAATGTTAGGAAAACTAATTCACAGAACTCTTGTATAACTATGAAAGCTAATCTTGGTATCGTAACCCTAAAAGTAATCTTAATAGTCTTAATTATAAAAGTAATATTAATCTTATTTATGATTCTATGATATTAGATTTTCAAGAACATTTTATAAGTCGAACAAAAGGAGGGATAAGAACGTAATTAAGAGAGTTGAAGTATAGGAGGAAAGGATTGAATTGGATGGTACGGGGAGAGGGAATGTAGACGAGAGATCTCGGATTCGAGTTCTTCCACTTATACTGAAAAAAAAAAAAAAAAGAATTATATCAGCCACCGTGTAGAAAGTAGAAACTTAGAAAGGGATAGAATGAAATTGTAGGTTCCTGCTTTTCCGCCATGTGGGATGGCTCATTGGCAGGTGAGGTGTTTCTTGCACCTAACCTTGCCATAATTTTGAAAATTGGATCGAATTAGTTGGTTCAATTGAACCTAACCAACTTGATGAAGAATCAATTGGATTGATAAAATCAAAAGAATCAATTGGAGTTCACTAATATTTTCTTTTTAAAAAATATTTCAATAATACAATAATAAATAAAAAATCGATCAAACCCAAAAGAGTCTAGTAGTTTCAACTTGATAATTATTAACGTATTTCGATCATATATGTCTATCTCGAAAAAAATAAAAGCAAAAGGTATTTGTCACAAAATTCATCTCTATTATTTTGTGTTTTTTTCTAAACCATACAAATGATTTGTCATCATTTAACTAAAAGAAATAGAAATAAACATATCAAAAACGATGGAGACTTTATCATGTAGAATATAAATTTATTAATCATTGCTTTTCTTAAGTTTATTTTCAATTTAACGTTATTTTCTACAATATGAGCACAATTCTTTCTCCTTTTTTATGATAACTAGGAAGGGCATACAAATGAAATCTACTGGAATACTTTTCTCATCGATTTATTCTTTTTTATTTTCAAATCAATTTCTGAGTATAAAAATTTCTGCAACTAAGATAACTTGATATTAAAATACCACATACTAATGCTTTTAACAGTTTTTCTAACAATTCAAATTCTCCAAAAAAAAAAAAAATGAAAACATCGTTTATGAACTAAAACATTTCCTATTCTAGCTAAATTAAAATATTCGGTAGGCCTACTCCTCTCCTCCTGTATAGGTATAGGTATCGAACATAGATTAGGTTTTTTATCCACTAATATACAGGTCCATATATCGTGCAAGAGTGAGTATCCATCTCGCCAAGATTATTAAGGAGAAGAAAGAAACATGGGAGGAGGAGCCATGTCCCCAGCGGTCTCTGGACAAGGTGGAGCCGCTGCTTATTGTTCATCACGGTATCAAAGTCATCAACAGCCGTTACAACCAATATTGAGCCACTTAATTCAGTCTCTGCCATTTCCAGTCAAGAACCCTTCAATAATAATCCATCAACAGGGATAAACTGTATGCACCATGAAAACGTGGGTTCTCCAGTGGATGGTACAAGTGGAACAGAATATGGTGCTGCAGCAGCAGCAGCAGCAGGAAAGTGTTGTTCTGGCAGTGTTTTTGGGCCGGCACCATCAAGATTGGAGGTAGAAAAGGCCATGACTGACTTACAGAGGTATAATACAACGCCTGTTTCGCGTTAAAAGTACAGAGAAGAGATTTCTTGTTTATTGTTGATCACATGCTTAGAACTTGAAATTAAACAAATGAAATTATGATGATTCTTTGATAAACCAGGGTCAATGTATAATAGATACTCTCTATCAGCCCTGGCATCATACATTGCTGCAATCTGGTAGAATTAATTGGACTGCCTTTTTCTGCAGTATTTGATGGTTTATGCATGTTAAAACCAAAAAGCATAAGCAATACTTGTTTGTATCTATCGGTCAAGGAGTTTCACCTCCAGATAAATTGGATCGTATGGTTAGTCTTTAGAAGCATCTAATGACTTCTAATTGATCTCTGGTTCAATTCCGCTTTTGTTTAGCTCAGGTTTCTGCATGGTGAAGCTAAATCTAACTTCCACTGGCTTCAACCAATAGTTTATCCTAGCGACTCAAGGATGCTGCAATCCCCTGGATATAGAAGAATCCAAGATGCTTTTGGTATGCTTCAAAGAGAGCCATCAGTTCAGGTGAAACAATGCATATGCAGTTGTCGTCTGTGTAATTCTCTAATATTTCATTCTGCTGATGACTTGGTCATTTCTGCCCTTCTTGTTGCTCTTCTACTCAGAAAATCGATGTATGGTACTAGATAGTATTTATTGTTAAAAGACATCAGCTTATAGTTTGAAAGCTTTTTAACTTCATTTCCACATGAATTTTTCTTTCAGTTCTGTCTCTAAAAGGTGCGTACTTAAATTGCAGAACCTGGTGGCCTCGATCTCCTGCGACAAAGCTGTTTGGGACGCCATCTTGAACAACAGGGCAGTTCAGGATCTCGGGGGCTCAATCTCTGCAGGTCATATGCAACAAATTTTTTTGACAAAAATTTCAAAATATATACACGTTTATTCCCCTGCCTCCTCTGTATGATTAATCATACAGAGTCATTTACCTCAGCAACAATTCATCCTACTAGGAATCTTTTAGATAATTTGAAGAATTCAAGGGTGAAGTTTTATTATTCACATCTGTTCATTGCTTAAAACAAAAGCTTTCTAAACCTCGTTCGAACTTCTTGTATTGCCTGACAAAGACCAGAGGCATGTTTAGCTGAAGTTTGCATGCACTTGTGGCTTTACAATGAATGCTTCAACTGACTCTTCTTTCCAGCAGTTACCATGTCAAACAATATGAAGATCACAGCGTAGCAAACAAAAAACAGACCATTTGTTTTCTCGTTCTGCTCTTTTGTGGTTTGAAGTTTGTAGCTTAATTTAATGGCATGTATACTGTGGCAGTATTTTTGCAGCATACATATCCATTATATTATGTGCCTTGATTATTTTCGACGATGTTTATCCATTCCATGCATGTGTAGAACAAAGGACGCAGGCATCTAGTGAACAAGCAGACATAGCGAGCCTCATCTTTAAGTGGATTTTGGAATTTACCATATCAAAGATTATGGATGTGGTTGAGAAAATTGGATTGATGATGGCTGAATTATTTATACCCGGTGACAAGGAAAAACCAACCTCAGAACTCACTGATCTTGTCGAAGAAAAGATTAGATCTTCGTTGCTTCTCTCGGTTGTTATTCTTTTGATTGTGGTTGTCACCCGAAACAGTGGCGCCTGATGAAGGCCTTCATCTTCGGACGAGCGCATAAACGGCGGCTACACAAGTTGTTGGTCTTTAGTCTTTTTAGTCATTTTAGCATCTCATCTGATGTCTTTTGTCATTTCTTTGTTGTAGATTTTCTGGATATCATTATCGTGTTTGTATGCTCTGTCTCAACATACACATGCAACAAAATAATCTCGGGAACTCAAAGCTTCCATAGGTGCTAGCCGCCCTTCAAAGCAGAGCTAAGAAAGACACTGATGTATTTATTTCAGAAAAATGATGGTGGGGAAAGAAAATGAAGGAAAGGAAGGCAAGGAAAACGAAGCAGCCACATCTTTGTGATTAGACCGTTTGCTGCTTCTTTTTTTTTTTTTCCTTGTTTTATTCTCCATCTTTAGTGGAGTATAAAAGTTGTACTTATTAATAACCTCTCGTTTCCCTAAACTGTCAGATATCCTCTACAGCTCCAACTTTGAGGGCCACAAATGACTTCGTCATAAAACATCGAAAAAGTTCTTCATGCTGGAGAATTTTAGAAAGCCCTTCTAATGAACAACTTGAGATGCTTTAATCTGATAAAATCAGATCATAGCATATATTCCTACTTCCGTGATTAAAAATGGAACATATGGTTTAGAAACAAGGAAGAAGATGCGCCTGCTTTAAGGACATGAATTGGCTAAAAAATGTTCGTCAATGATATCACCGCAGAATACATATTCCAAGCCAATTTATGCTACAAGAGCACAGAAACTATACATCTCCTGAATCTTGGTACGCCTTAAGAAGTTAATTGTTCCTATCAAAGACAAGACTGAACTTCAAAAGAGGTACTAAATAAACTAATCACAAGGTCTCCTAGTTAAGAGAACAGCACTAGTGTGCATGCAGTCCGCTTATTCCTCCAGGTTATATATCGCACATATCTGAGAACTGTGACGAGCTTCTCTCACTAGGTCAACCAATGCTTAGGGCCCATCATTTGCCGATCCACTGCAGGACCTTGGCTAGCAATCTTCTGAATGCGCGAAGAGAATTCTTCAGCCTAAGGAAGAGCAAAGAGCCAGCATATTAGCAAGAAAGGGTCAGTCTATCTGTCCATCCTTGGCAAGGAGTATAATGTTATACAATAACCCTACTCAACTTCTAGGAGATGTGAACATAATCGGAAGCATTCAGGTGGGAAGAAGAAGTTTCTGCAAACAGGTATGTACAATGATCTCCACAAACACAATAACCATCAATACGTGAATTAACAGGAGTGACTTGCAGTCATGGAAAACTGGAGAACCAGATACCACAAAGGAATATTGCTCCAGATATTGAAAAGATAATATTAATGGGTATTTAGTGAGCTCATCCAACGAAAGACAAAGGAAAGCTGTTAGAGAGGTGCAGATGGAGAACAATGAGTTAGGACAAAACATTTTTAGTTGCCATTTCATTTGCTGCAAGTAAAAGCAATCTCATCAGGGGAAAAGAGGAAGAAGAAAAGAAGGGACCTAGAAAAAAAATTGAGATGCAACTTATAGTCTATTTTAGTCTCAAAGAATTTGTTATGACTGGAGCATTACAGAATCTCAGTGCCAGCAAGAGAGACGTTAGCTAGATTAGTGGGACCAGTAGCTTTGCTGGAAGAAAGTTAATTGTTAGGTGGGGGCCTCTAGTATTAGCAGTTAGCTAATTCAGTTGTGGCAGTTAGCTAGTAGATGATCAGCTATTTTGAGCAGATATCTTGTATATGTAATAGCTCTCTATAAGGAAATAATTATCTGATAATATTCAATTTGTACAGTCATTCTTCTCTCAATAAAATTCCCCCTCTTTCCCTCTCTCTACTCTCTCTCCTGTTTCTGTTCTCTTTTTTCTCCCTCCCATCCACTCAGATCATAACAGAAATACAATGGTTCAAGAGGAAGAAGATCTACAGGAAATTCAAAGATGGCTAAGCAATCTTCAGGTACTTTCATGAAGAACATTTCGACTAACTTAATCGGAAAGATCAAACCACTTAAATTTCATTATAATTTACTTCTTTCATGCCACTATTACAGAATGAGTTTGAAAGTCACAAGTGCACAATACTAACCCTACATCCATGAAAAATAGCGAAACCAAGTTGCAAGGAATGTACTGACCTTTTCATCAATCCACATCAAGGAACTAAGTTGATTGTTTAAAATACGAACGACGACATCCAATGGAGACATTCCATCAGTCGCCTCCAGTTCCCCACCCTAAATTAAGCACAGAAGATAAGTTCATGAAGTTTGCAATGCTTAACTAAAATTTGGGAAACCAAAGGCGGTCAATCACCTGGCTTCTATTGAGAGTAGTAATAATTCCTTTGATCTGTTCCGTCATCTGTTCCAATTCCCTCTCTATAAACTCAGCTTGCTCGTACCTGATAATACCAAGAAAAATACCTATCAAAGACCAAGTGATGAGAACTTGTATTATAGTTTAGCTCCATTTGTATGGTTATCTGATAGGCTCATGGAATATAAAAACATCACTTTGTTAATCTGTTTAGGAGATAACTTGAGACGAGCTCAAACTGTTTGATCAAAGCTCTCATGCACCAGCTAGCAGAAAGCTGTTTCGATATTCTGGTGTGAACTTTGTACAGGATATACTAGTGTCAAACCAGGAAAGATAAGATAGGACTTCAGTTCATCTCAATCTTTGAAAAATTGCTTTCCTAATACAAGGAAGGCAGATGTGATGCCATAATTCTAGGTTAACTTGGAAAGAAAAGCAAAGCTTTGGAAACCCAGGGTTTAGATTCTAGGAGGCCAAGAGAAGCAAAAATAACTTCCTGCATTTTTACTAATTATAAAACCACCGGGAAATTGCACTGACCTCTCCTGTATTTCATTTTATTGTCTAAAATGTGTTTTGACAAAAAGAGTACTCAGAATAACCTGCCTTCTTCATAGGTTTGTAACGGTACTTATGAAATAAATCAGGATTATTCAATTGCACCATCAAATCTTAACTTGTTTAAGTGACCGTGGAGAGGTTTAACCATGATACAATGTAATTTTGAGAACCCTAGAGGTCTATCTATCAACAGCAAACCTAATGGGAGGTTTATATATATTGTGCTTGTTATCAACTGATTCTCATTTTTAAAATCAGAATCAAAATCCAAAAGCACCTAATTCTATGCTTCTGATTTTTTTATTTTTTTTTTGCCTTGAAAAAGGCCAAAAGCAGGATTTGAAAAGCAGTTAAGAACAGAAAAAAAAGTAGACCTTAAAATCAAAAGCTAAAATCAGGTTACAGAATCATTTGAGAACAAGCCCTTTATCTAAAATCTGTTTGCTCCAAAGGGAACCATGCTTGGTGATCAACAGAATTTTCACTTAGTATCCTACCAATACTCAGTTAATCCGACCATCTATAGTAAGAAATACATGTCAGTGATAGTTCTAGTCATTTGGCATTGTCCACGAGTTATCACTAGGATAGATTAAACCAAACATTTGCTTTTCCGCACTAATGAACAGATGAGGGCAACTTTGGTCCTGCAATTAACTCAGTACAAAAACCACATTAAGATGCAAAGTAGAAATCGCCGCCAAATTCATTCAAAAAATTCATGCAACCCCTCCAACGTACACTAACATGACATTTCAATGGTAGGTGACATAAGGTAGTACGCAACCATATTTGTAAATGAAAAAAAATTATATAGCATAAAAACAAAGATCAACCGTTACTTACATTGCATCTCTTGTAGATGCAGCTTCATCATCAAGAAGCAATGCACGCTCATCTTTGTATATCCGCTCAGCTTCTTCTTCCATACTTAGCAACGATTTGTCAACCTTAAAATGACATAATTAAGCGAATAATATAACAGACACATAAAAAATACTTGTATAGCTAATCATGAAATTATATTTTTAGGAGACCACAATTTTCGTCTTTGAAGAAGAAAGCAGGTTCGTGACTAACAACATTAAGCACTATGTCATTGATATTCGATTACATTCATTGCAACAGACCTCCTCTGTTTTCTAAATTATATAAAATCAATAATAATAACCACAAAGTTGCGCAGAATGTGTAACTCCTAAGAATTACATCCAAAAGCAAGTTTATGTGGTCTGTGTTATAAGCCACAACCTCTTATAGAAGGCAGCCAATCAAAAACTAACCATTGGATGTTTAAAGTCACCAAAAAGGAAAAGAGTTTAAAGGGAAATTATGAGGTGGGTTTCCTATAATTTCAGTGTGTTTAGGAAGATATGTACATTGTGTGCATTGAGAGCTTGTCAGAAAGTTGTTTGTAAAAGCTATTACACATCCCATAGTTATTAACTCACATCATACCAACAAGTAACCAGACTGGAAGTGTCATAAAAATGCATGAACCTTAAAGAAGCACTACCTATCCAAGCATCAAGCACATACACCATGATGTGAGACTTAGCTAGGACAATGGAAGAGATTGGATACCTCTTCTTGATGAGTCTCAATCAGCTCCAAGTGTCGCTCTAAGTTAGCTTGTGTCTCAACGACTTTTGCAACTTCAGTCTGAGAAAAGGTTCAAGCACTTGAATTTAATGAGGCCAATGAGAAAATGCCAATTTAAAATAAACTCATATTTCATGATTATACAAGCCAGATAGAAAGATGATGCATCATCCTGACACGTGCAACAGAAAACAAATACAAACTATGAATAAAATGATCCTAAAGATAGATCTTGGGATACGCAATACCCAAAGTGCTATATGACATAGAAAAAACCAGACGTATCATGACAGAAACAAATAAAAAGTAAATGTACACGAAAAATGTCACAGGCTGATATCCATAACAGTATTTGCAGTCATATACCAGAGCAGAGTTATTCATCAACCTGGACAGAAAAAAACCATTATGTTCCCTAAGAGATTAATACCTCAAGCCTAAGAGGATGTCACGATTCTGCAAGATCCTTTTATCCCACTCAGCAATTGCATAGCCTGCTTCTGAAACTTGCGCGTACGTTCCTGTAACTCTGTATTCCACTCCTTGATGATCTACAGAAAATGATATAAAATTATTTGTCAAACCGGAACATTCCCGCAAATGGACAGGCGAAAAAGGAAATAAGATGTAGCAAATCCACAATTTCCAGGCAAAAGACATCATGGTTTCCTCCTGATGTACAAAAGAAAGAAACCCATCCTCATATTTACTAGAAGCATAAAACACCTCTTAAAAGGTTACATGCAATCAACCCTCAAATAAAGCAATAGGGGAGACATCCCAGTGTTTCCAAAAGTACATCATAGCAAAACTTTAGCAGATAAGACCTAAAAATAACATAAAGCACAGAATGAGCTACATCGTTGAAAGAAAGTACATGGTAAAATGTATAACCTGTAAAGGAAATTAGAACACATAATTACCTCCTCGACAGATTTTCCAGTGATTTCAGATGGCAATTTTGGTTTGGCAGCTAGACCTGCTGTTGCAGTTGAAGTGGTACTACAGGACAATAAAATAGAACTTAGGCTCCAACATTGCAAATGATGTGAAAATCTAGTCTCTCAAAACGAAAATGATCAATTTTAGCTCTTAACAACATAAAAATGATCGCCTGGTCCTTTTTTGCTTTTCGAGCAAATTTTGAATGGATTAAGTCATGCCCAAGCTACATGCCAATTTTTAAAGGGTAAAAATGATAGATTGCCTCACTATTGACCAGAAATGTGTGGGGCTCCGAGCGAAACTTGAACATTTATTAAAAAGCACAAAAACTAAGCCACCATTGCCTACTATTTATTTCAACCTAAAAACAACACCTAATGGCAGACTTGCAATAGCAGAATAAAATTCATCCAAAGGAAATTGGTGATTGAATGCCTGCTATTAGAGAAAGGTCCACATGTAATATATCTTTAACCAGAAATTCAATGTTCAGATGAAGTGATAAAGATTATATAATGGTAATTGTTAGCAATTGAAAGCATCATCAAATTATGATAAATGTACCATGAACTATTCAGTCTATTGTTCTGGTTGCACAAAGGTGGATTATTTTCATTTCTATTAACATAGCAGGAAGATGAAACGAGCTTTTGTTAAATGACTAGACCAACTCCTAATAAATCAAGAAAGGTGTTCTTCACTGTCGTCCAACAGATCGCTTCAAATTGTGCAACCATTGTTATAAGAAACATGGTCAAAATTCATAATATTAGATATGGTTATTACCACAATGAGCATCTTAACATTCTTTTTCTCAGTCTATATTTGAGAGTAGTCAAATATGACAACCTTTAAAATGACTGAATTACGTGATAACAATATGGTATGCCCTCTGCAAATTTCAAGTGAAGTAAATAGTCATAAAAAGTTAAAATAATAGCAAAACTATAATGTTAAATAAAAACCTTTCCAAACATTCTGATCTCATCTCTCTCTTCATTTTTGTAAACTGGTGTAGCAGACCATATAAAATATCCTCTTGATTTTCAGAAACGTATCCTATGTAAAATTAGAGTCCAACGTTTTAGAAGCTACCAAAGCTTGAAATCAGCAAACGAGAGCTGAACTCTTTATCGCTCACTGAGTCGTTCAAGCAGAAGTCTTAACATTGTATTGCTTGTTGACGGCAATGTTTTCAGAACCGGACCGGACTGGCCGGTTCGACTGGTTCGATCGCGAACCGGCCATGTCACCGGTCCGGTCCAGTATCAAACCCGAAGCCTAATGTAAAATCGCTACGAACCGGATGAACCGGACGATTAAAACCCCACTGAACCGCAAACCGGCGGTTCTCAAATTTTCAAATATGCCTCAAATTCAAAACAAAAAAAATGGAAGCTGCTAGGTTTGAACTCTGGTCTCCATGGCCATAATAAGGTGCACTTACCCCTAAATCATAGCCAGAGAACGTGTAGAATGTTACTTGACTTATCTAAAAAACTAAAATCAGATTAAATAAAAAAAACCCTAAAGACCTAGCAAAGTGCAGACGGCACATTTCATTTCAGTTGCCTCGGCTTCACTTCCTCCGCTCCTCAGATTCTCCAATCTCCAGTTCTCCTCTTGATTTTTTTTCTTAATTTTTCTTCATAATCCTTCCACTTCCTAATACCCACGACAAGATCATCACACTATTATCTTTAGACAAGACTCCAGAGCTTTTCCATCTTGTGAGTTTAATTTTTGCCTTTTCTTGATTTTTGTTTTCTATATTATGTTTAGTTGATTTTTACGTTTTATTGATTTTTGTTTTCTATGTAGAGATTAGAGCACTTATTTAGTTTTTGTGACAATACATCATGACATTTGTTCCGTCCATAAATATTTGCCGTAACTTGTGTATATGTCCTGATTTAATTTATAGTTAAATCAAAAATCTTGCCTAAAGATAACCAAAAGGATCATGCCTAACAACAAAGTATTTTTCGTTTGAATAGTGGAACAGGAATAATAGGAATTGGAAAATATCTAGTACTACATTGTTCATTTGCTTTCCTCTCGTACTACGATGGAATGCTTACTAGACAATAATTTGAAATGTGCAATAAGATGTTTTTGATTAACCATGTTAATTATATCCAAAATAGTTTGTTTCACCAACTGCTAGGGAAATAAATAAAAATAAAGTAAGAGATGTATATTTGTCTAAATTGGTTCTTCTAGTCGAGTATACTTGAGGAAATAAAGGATGCAGCGCAAGTAAATTATTTGAAGATATAAGTTTGTCCTTGTTGTTTTGTCTTGGTGCTATAAGTAATATTAGTTTGTCTATTAGTAGGAGATGATTCTCAACTAGTTGAAGGTTGGTTTTAATATTAAAATAAATATATTTTTAACTTGTAATATGAAGTGCTAAAAGTGTATTTTTTTTAATTTGAATTTTATTATAAATATGGATAAATCCTTAATTGTTGCTTTATTTATTTATTTAGATGATGAAAGTCAAGTTGGGGAAGATAATCATATTGACTTGGAAGCATTTCAGCGTAGGCATCTTTTGGATGGTGATGAAGATAATGATTGGAATATAACATGTTAATTAGTGATGTTTAGTAGCAATTGATTCTTTTTTTGTTTGGTTGTATCTTTGTTTTTCAAAATTTTTTGGCTTTTTTTTTAGTTTCACCAATTAGATTTATATTTTTTGTAATAAACTTTTAAATTTTTTCAGGTTAAATTGATGAAATTGTGAAGTGGGTGCCGTTGCTTTGTCATGCCAATGATGGAAGTTTATTATCCAAATTATTTGCCTTGACTATGAGTTGGACTTTTCTATGAACTTTTTTAGAATTGTGGAAGAACGTCAACATTTATGTTATTTATTTTTGTGTTTTTGTTTGTGATAATTGATGAACATTTGGACTATATCTATTTATGTTTGTAATGAATTATGAAAATTTGCGATGAATTATGATATTTTAGTTGTATTTATCATTCCTGGTTTTATGTATAACTTTTAAAAAATTTATTATTATCTCAACTTAAATTTAATTTTAAGTTATATTGATAAATGTATTTTAAGGACTTAAGTTATTAATAATCATGTTAAATTGTACATTAGCAGTCAAGTTTCAGTATAGACTATAGAGTGAAGACCTGGGAAGTACTCAGTATTAAAGTTGCAAAAAAAAATAAAAATTCCGTTGAACAGTTGAATCGGCCGGTCAGACCGTGAACCGGACCCCTCTCCGGTTCACTGACCGGTCCGAATTTAAAAACATTGGTTGACGGTAGACCACATAGCTTTCATCGTCCACCAATAGGCCCTCGGATTGGTGATGCACTAAAAGCTCATCTCTGCGTGTGTACCACGAATCTCAGGCAATCCTACATCGAGTACTCTCCAAACCCATTACATTTCCGGAGATTGAAGAATGATCCGCGAATATGACCGTTCACCGCCTTAAACGCCCGAAGATGGGATCAAATCTAGATCTTGATTACCATTCTGATACCAATTAGCAAATGAAGATCTACAACTGATTGCTCGTACTTGACCCACATACATTCATTAAATCTCATCTCGTATATCATTGAATTTCCATGTGTTTACCATTTAAACATTAAAATGCATAAATTGATCCCACATTTATTAAACCACTGCCCTCCACCCCCCCCCCCTCCCCCACACCCCAAAAAAAAAAAAATGCTCTTCCGAAATCTTCTCCTTTCAGACGAAGACTGTGTGGTGAATCGCTTGTAGTCCTTCGAGTTGCATTTTCCTAACCGACCTTGGTCATAATTCCTTACAACCAAGTGACTGCAACTTACACCTACAAGTAAGAATCGAGTAATATGCCGGTTCCTGTCAAACATCTAGACTTGAATTGCTAAGCTAGTACTATCGAGTTCAGACTGCAATAAACAACATTAAGACAAGCCCAAGCAATAATGCTGGCAATCGAAGTATTTAGTAAGGAGAAAATCCAAGCCTCCAACCAACGTTGAGGGGGAAAAAATCTTTGCTGCCTTTATTTTTTATTTTTTAATTTTTAAATTTTAAATTTAATCAGGGTTATGCATTATCTAGTTGATAGTTGTGAGTTGGTTTACCATCATTCTGGTGATAACTGGAGTAGGAAAATTCTTACTACTCCCAAAGAGCACCGTTTGGATTGCCGTTTTCCGCCGAAAAATTACGCCGTTTTCCGTGATCACATTTCCCTATTATCTTTTTCCCTCACATACATCAAATCGCTACAGTAATTTTTCCATAAAAAATGACGGAAACTAGTACTATTATCCTAAACAGAAATAGTAGCGTAGCACTCTGTCTTGTTTATATTTGGCCAGAACGAACACATCATGAACAAAACAATGTCAGTTGATGAATACATCTCCCTTAATTCAACATTAAAATGACCCAAAACTCCCACTTCCACTCTAAGTTTTGAAATACAAAACAAAGTAAAAAAAAAACTATAATTAAAACTGTCTCAACTTCAACTAGTAACTTTTCTTGTTCACGCCAGATGTTAATGGGTATCACATCATAGTTAAGCCTCCCTGCGGACAAAGTACAGCTTACCCATCACATGAAGAATTGCAACAAACGCTATGAAACCAATGCTCATGACAAGCACAACATTGGGAGAAATCTTGAGCCCTGGAGCATCATCTGTGTAAAATTGAAGCATGGTACCACCTGCTCCTCCTGCAGCCCCGCTGCTGCTTGGCCTCCTCCGACGCGTGTTTGCAGCAGCAGCTGCTGCAGTTCCTCTTTGTGGAGCTGCCCCACCCAATGCCATCTGCATAGGAAACATTTGAGACATTTATAACCAAGCAATTTTCAGTAATTTCCAGCAGTCTACAAAAGTCCAGCTAAAATGATAGGTAAAAACATAAAGTGCTTATAGTGGAATGGTCGCAGATGAAAGGGATCAGAAGGCAGGACACATCTATCGAAGTCCACATTAAGGCAGGAGGATTTCATTACAGACCTGTACTTGCCTCCCAGAGATCATCAAAGGAAGAAGACTAAAACGCAGATTGATTACCACAA